ACATGGAAGGACCTTGAGGGCATTCTGCTAAGTGAAATAAGTCAAACAGAAAAAGACAAGTGCTGTATGATCGCACTTACGTTTGAAATCTTAAAAAACAAAAAACAAACTCACAAAGAGCAGATTGATGGTTACAGAGGCAGGGATTGGAGGGTGGGTGAAATGGGTGCAGATGATCAAACTGCACAAACTTCCAGTTATAAGCTTAATAAGTCATGGGGATGTAATCTGCAGCATGGTGAGTATAGTTAGCAATAGTATATTACATATTTGAAAGTTGCTAAGAGAGTAAATCTTAAAGTTCTCATCACAAGAAAAAATTGTAACTATCTGTGGTGATGGATGTTAACTAGACTTATTGTGGTGATCCTTTTGCAGTATATATGAACATTGAACCATTATTTTGTACATCTAAAATGAAAATACTGTTACATGTCAATTAAAAAAAGAGACCAAGAGCCTTAGAGCTGCTCAGCTCTGCACAGGGCTTACCAGAGGGATGCAGACTCGGAAGGCTGCCAAATAGGAGGCTGGCTCACATCCACCCTCTTGGTATTTTCACTCTGTAAGGACCCAATCTCCCTGCAAAACCCCCAAAGGAATCAGCTATGCCTGCTGGCCCTCCCACACCTTTTGTAAGCTCTGCAATTCTGATGTTTTCTTTCTGCATCTTCTACTATTCAATCATGTGGCTTCATAGTCACTTCTCTGGGGCTTTGATTCTTCATCTCTACTTATTTAAATCTATTTTTTATTTATTGGTTTGGCTGCATTGGGTCTTAGGTGCAGCATGTGCACGAGAGCTCAGTAGCTCCAAGGTATGTGGGATCTTACTTCCCCGCCCAGGGATCAAATTTGCAACCCCTGAATTGCAAGGCAGATTCTTAACCACTGGACCACCAGGGAAGTCCCAATTCTTCATCTTTAAGGCTTAGCTCCCTCCTCCAGGAAACCCTTCTTAACAACCTCATATGTAGATCTTTCTAAAGTCTCCCTCATGTTTGCATAAGTATCCACTTAAGTCTGTACTATTATCATATGCAAATTTTGTCTCTAGGTTCATGTCCTCCTACTTTATGAGCATCTGGACAACTGAACTAGAATCTTTTTGGTTTACAACCTTGGCCTTTTACCTCAGTAAATTTTTGTTGAAAATAAATAAATAGCAGCTAAGCATTGAGTGCGCCAGCTCATATTACACATGTGTGTGCACGCATACATTGCATGTGTATCATGGAAGGGGACAACTGCAAACAGGTATAGGGCTCTAGCAGATGCCAGATAGGGGTGCGAGTTTTTCACATGTATTCATCCACTTGTGAGGTAGGTGGCGCTATTATCAGCACTCAGTAGGCGGAGAAATAGAGGGGTTCAATGAGATGCTGCGCTTCCAGCCAAGCAAACCTGCCTCCATCCTCCCGCCCCTTAAACACCCGATTAAGTCACTGCTGCTGAGGCGATCTGGGATCTTCCGGCAGTAGACCACTCTGCACGGTGGAATGTTCCATCTGACCGAAGGTTAACCTGATCCATGCCAGGATATCCACCGCTCTTCCTTTCTTTTTCAAGTACTGACTCCTCTTAACCTCCGCTGCTGTTGCAGGACTGTAATTACTGGGAGGTGTGATGCAGCTGCAGAAGGTGGGAAAGACAGGAACCAGTGGCTCCCGCCCCTGCAATGCTCTGTTCAGGGACCGGAACAGTGTTGGGCTGCATGGCTCTTTCTGTTGCACTATTGAGTGGAGCAAACATTCGACGTGCCCCTCCTAAGTGAATCTTAGCCATCCAAAAGGTCTCTATCAAGTCAACCAATAGAACCCTTTAACTTGGCAAGCTCACTCAAAACATCATCCACATACCCTCTTCGTCTGTTTGTACCACTTTTCCATAACTTTTACCTGCAGTTACTGAGTTCATTGGGTTAAGGCATCAGAGCAAACTCAAGAATTTGTACTCAATTAAATGGGGATAAAGGAAGCTCATTTCATCCATGCTCCCCACCCCACTTCGTTTCTAAATTAATTTTCACCCAGCTTGGGGCATGGATCTCTGTGAAGAAGTTTTAGGTTTGCAAAAGGCATTTGGATAATGACTGGTGGATTATAAATAAAATATAAAATAAAGCTGGGGCACTGAAAACCATCTGCAGCTGTGTGAAATGAAGAATGTCTGAAACGTGCCTGGTTTGCGGGTGCTTAATCCTCCCATGACTCTTTTGGGGGTGGGGAAGACGGACAGACGGGGGGAGAATGAGGGGGAAAATCTAGAGCAGGGGCTAAGTCAGGTGCCAGAGGAACCTCCACTGAAGCTAAGCCCCCAGATCGTTCACATTGTACTCTGAACCATGTCAGTTCATGCCTATCTTCGAAGGGCCCGAAATCAATAAAAAAAAAGAAGTTCAAAAACTGCTCCTTAGGCAGCTGAAAATCTGCCCTTCACTTTTCTTTGCCTGTACCCTGAGGAGTTCTAAATCTTCCCTCATTCCAACATCAAGCCAGAGAAGCCAGGCTCCCCAGAACTGTCTTTTATTCTGTATTATTTCTTCGGCGTTCTGCCAAGCACCGGTGGGTCTTTAAAGGGACTGTAAAAAGGTAACGAAGACACATCCGTTCGGCAAAGACACGTAGCACAGACACGGCGCACATAAATCAAAGCCAGAAAGAAGCCCGCTAGCAGCCTGGAAATCAAACTGTGTCAGGGAGAAGGCCCGGGCAGAAAAATAGATTAGAAGGGCACTGAACAAGAGAGAAGAAAGACAGGCAGCCCCTACTAAAATTAATGAGAGGCAGAGGAGGCCTGGAGAACAGCCTGACAGAAAAGATTCTTGCGCTGCTTAAGGATGGACGAGCGTTTCTGCAAGTGATATCGACTCCTGCATGAATAACACAATGGCTGACCAGCACCACTTCCCAAAAACCAGGGCTAGAGGCTCCAAAAGACAGGAGGGGAGGAAGGAGACTTGAAAGGGATGGGGGAGCAGGCAGAGGAATTTAGATGAGCACAGAGACCTCCCTCACAGCCCATCCTTCAGGTGACCTCCAGCTCCCAGTCCCAACTTTGTAACTGCTCTGCTGAGTGCTCTGAACTAGGTTAATGGTACCTGTCTCATAAGTGATCTTGAGGTGCCATAAGTGGAGGACCAAGTGCACGTACTGGCCCAGAATCAGGGCTTTGGATGGAGCGACTTATTAAATTAAAAATTTTTTTCTTAACATATATATTTTATTGAAGTATAGTTGACTTACTATGTTTGAACAATTTTTCCTTCCTTCTTTTTTTTTTTTTTTTTTTACAGTTCTCAAAGTCTTTTTCCCACTTCTCCTCCAGGAGGCTTTTGTTTACCCCTTTTCAGAACCCCACAGAAAGCCAGTTACCATCTTCTGGTTTTTCCTACAAGTCCTACTTGCCCTATCCGTGCCCTCAAACCTAGGGGATCTTAAAAAAAAAAACAGCAACTAGGGGATCTTAATCTGGTCTCAAATTGGAGACTTGTTTTGATTCATCAGTGGCCTCCCAAATCAATCAATATCATGCCTGTTCTTTCCGACTTCCAAGGACTGGGCTTTTACAAATCAAAAGCCAAGAATTGCCCTTGTGTGTCTCTGAGTTGTGCCTGAATGGAACAAGGACCCAAGAAATGGAGCGAGGGTGGTGTTGGTAGAGATCTCAATTGATATTTCAAAATATTATTCTGTACAGAAGTGTTCTGAGCAATCATAAAGCTGAGAATTGAAGAGAGCCTCACTCAAAGGAACCCAGCCTGTCTCTGTGCAAGTTCAGTAGCCCTGCTTGAGGATGCCTTTGTATAATTGTGATCCTTGCAAAATTTCAGTGTGAAAGCTCCTTATGTGTGTGTTGCTGTGGGGGGTGGGGGGGAGTATGAGGGGAGGGGTCGTCCTACAGACTAGGGAGGAGTCTTGAGGGCCAGACCTTCCCTTCCAAGGGTCTTGCAAATCTCCAGACTCTGTGAATTAGATGAATACAGGAAGCTGTTTAATAGCAAGTGACACCGGGACCCTTATCACACCTGAGCTTTCAGCCACAGGACCGGTGTCTGGTGCCAGCCACCTGGAGCTGAGAAGGGCCTCCCTCTCCTTCCTTGTGTGTGTGCTCTCTCGCTAACTTATGTCCGACTGTTTGCGACCCTATGGACTGTAGCCTGCCAGGCTCCTCTGTCCATGGGAGTCTCCAGGCAAAAATACTGGAGTGGGTTGCCGTGCCCTCCTCCAGGGGGTCCTCCCAACCCAGGGATCCAACCATGTCTACTGCATCTCCTGCATTGGCAGGCGGATTCTTTACCCCCGTGTCACCTGGGAAGCCCCCATACTACTCGTGATGTTAGCCAAAGGCCTAGAAGCATTGAAATGCACCCTCCTTGGTGCACTGAAAAAACGCACAATACAAATTAGATCCCACAGGTTCTCGGTAAGAGAAGACACAGAGCATTCAAAAGCCAGTACCTGAGTGGGACACAGGTCCTGTAGTGACCTGGGGCCACCTGCAAGGCCTGGGATAGGATGAGTAGGATGAAGCAATTTGAAAAAAAAAAAAAAAAGCAGCGTCCCGTAGCTCACATCATTCGCTCCCTATGGCTCTCATGTTTCTTCTGATCTAGGCAAACCACCATGTTCTTGGTGTTGTAACAAAAGGGAACAAGCCAACCCACGCCTCGCCTCTTTTAAACCCTTTCATCTGGGCTTGCTAAAGCAAACAAACCTCAGAGCACGCCTGCAAGGTTGTGTTCACCCCAGGCCTGCAAGGTTGTGATCACCCCAGGCCTGATCCCTCAAGTCCTCCGGGGGCGGAGCGCCAGGGCCTCGGGGGCGGGGCGCCACGAGGGGCGGGGTCAGAGGCGATGTAGGGATTTCGGGGGCGGGGCGCCAAAGGCAAGGGGCGGGGCAAGGGCGGACTCGGCGCCAGGGGCGGGGTTACGGGGGCGGAGCCTCGGGGCGCAGCGGGAGGACTAGCGGCCCCGCGGGAGGATTCCCGGCCCCGCGCAGGGCGGGGCGGGGAGGCCGCGGCCGCGGGCCTGCGGGCCTTGGGAGCGAAGGGGTCGGGCTGGCTCCGGCGTGATCCGTGGGCTCCGCTCACTACCGGCTTCTACAGCATGGGGCCGGCCAGGATCAGGCGGCCGGAGCCGGGGCCGCGACCCACCATCGCGCGGCAGCGGGACGGCATCAGGTCAGCGGCCCGCCTGGGTGCGGGGCTGTTCCGCTGGGGGTGGCCGGCGGGACACAGAGACAGAGAGGGGCGCAGGAGGCCGGCTGCCAACCGTGCCACCCCACGCAGAGTCCAGAGCGGCTCCGTCGGTGGTCAGCTCCGCCCGCCGCAGAGCCGTTTATCCATCGCAGTCCATGTGTCCGGCGGAAGTGTCCGACGTGAAAGGAATCCGCGGCTGCGGCGTTTACAGAGGTCCCTTGCCTGGGTTAAATGGCCTCTGGCACCCTGCAGGATTCACACCGAGGGTTTAAGTGGGGCTGCCTGCGACGGCGCCAGCACTGCCCGTAAACCGCAGACCGAGTCGACCTCGCACTTGGACTCAGCGTGGACAGCCTTGTGGGAGGCCCCTCCGCTGCTGTGCCTTTGAGAAAGCCCTTCAGTAGAGAGGGCTCTGGGCCTCACAAACTTGACGTGGCTCCAAGGCACCGCCAGCCTTAGCCGAGCTGCTCCTTGGCCCGCAGCCAGAAGTGCCCACGTGAGGGCGGTAAATAAGTAGGAGGAAGGACACACCGTACTGAGCTCTGCCCTTTGGCTCCACAAACCTAAACCCCTTTTACAAAAACGTGCCTGGGCACACACTTGAAACTGGACGGCGGAGTGGTGAAGGCAGAAGGCCTTCAGCTCCATCCAGGCCTCACCTTGACCTTTGCCTGGCCCAAGCAAGAGTGCAGAGGGAGGCCTACCTGACATGTCTTGAGTATTTAGACCTTACAAATCAAGCAAACTGCAAGATAGGTCAATATATTTCCTTCTCTCCTGACAAGTAGGCAGCCCTAAAATCTGGTGTATGTGAGTGCTCAGTTGTGTCCGATTTTTTGCCACCCCATGGACTGTAACCCAGCGGGCTCCTCTGTCCATAGAATTTTCCAGGCAAGAATACTGGAGTGGGTTGCCCCTTCCTTCTCCAGGGGATCCTCCTTACCCAGGGATCAAACCCACATCTCTTGTGTCTCCTGCATTAGCAGGCAAGGTTTTTTCACCAGCTGAGCCAGCAGGGAAGCCCAAGACTTGGAAGGCTGTTTGAGTCCTCAGGCTCTGAGGAGCTCCCCCAAAGCAGTGGAGCGCACTCTTGGCCTTCAGCTTTGTTCTGTTCTTCCCACCCTGCCCTGGCCCACCTCACCTCTCTCCCACTCCGTCCTGCTGCTTTGCTGGGGTCTTGGCACACAGGTCCCAGACATCGTGTGCAGCATGCCCACAGTCTGTCTACTCCTTCACCTACACTCAGCTGCTCACAGCCACCCTGTAGGCCTCAGGGTGCCCACTGCAGAGCCATGGAATTCCAGGGTTTCAGGTGACTGCAGTGGAGTGTGGAAGGGTGTGGTGGTTTCCAGGTGCACACATCTCAACATCCCACTGGACTCCTTGCTCTCCAGGAGGGGTACCGCTGGAAGGGGGCCTGTCGGAGCAGAGTTCTCCAAAGTGCAGGGCCAGGCCCATTTTTAAGGGCAAAGAAGGGCCCTTAAAAAACTCTGTTTCTTCAAATCTGGCCCATTTGGCATGGCAACCAGATGACAGAAGGTGTTGTTGATTCTCCAATGTGTGTATGTTTTCAGTCACTCAGTCGTGTCCGACTCTTTGTGACCCCATGGGCTGTAGGCCATCAGGCTCCCCTGTCCATGGGATTCTCCTGGCAGGAACACTGGAATGGGTTGCCATTTCCTCCTCCACAGGATCTTGCCAACCCAGGGAGCAAACCCACATCTCCGATGTCTCCTGCACTGCAGGTGGTTTCTTTACCAGTGAATCACTGGGGAGGCTCCCTGATTCTCCAGAGGTAAAACAAACATAAATAAGAAAGGAGGATGTCAGGAATGGTTTAGTAGGAAGGAAGGCAAGCCAGCACTAAAGCAGAATGACGTCAGGCGCTGAGGGGCAAGCTGCAGCAACTCACTGATGTGTCGCTTTCAACAGCCGCCTGTGTGCTGCCTCCTGTGAGGGCCAGTGCTGAGCGTGGTGCTGCACCTTCCTCACCCCCAACCCTCCCGACAGCCACCAGGCATTATAGATCACATCATCCCCGCTTGACAGTGAGGAAAAGAGCTCAGAGGATGGCCTGTTGGAGGCCACACAGCTAGGAGGCAGGGGGGCTGAGAGAGAAAGGTCCATCTGCCTCCAAAGCTGCCCCCACTCTTGCTGAGCCATTCCAGGGTGCTCTCCACTTGGGTTTAAAAGAGATACCAGGAGACTAGATGAGGGGAAAATCCACGGCGGTTGGTGGAACTGGCCTTGCAAAATAGAAGTGCTCCTTTTGGTCATGAATTCAATCAACAGATACATGTCAAGTGTCTCCTCCACATGGGAGCCTGGCAGCGTCTTGCCCCACAGACCTGTGGGTGGTTTATGGCAATGGGATGGACTCCAGGCAGCTCACTGTGGCATCAACAGGGACCGTCTCTTGCCTCATAAATGGAAAGTTTACATTTTTATCACCTGGTGGTGATAAAATAAAAAATAAAAAAAAGTTTACATTTTTATCACCTGGTGGTGACCTCACTCTTAAAGAGATCCCCTTTCAGAAGGGGCGGTGTTAAAGCTCCAGGTGCAAGACAAGGTAGCCACTGGGGAATTCAGACCCGCGAGATTCTCAGGAGGTGTTATCCACCGGGTTTGATGACCTTTGACATGGAATGGAGCAATCAGGTCTCAATAACCCATTGAACAGCGATCCAGGATGGCTTTCTGAGATAAGCAAAGACAGGGGGTCTGTTTGGTCACTGGAAAAAGGAGGCTCAAGGGGCACCTTGGCAGGAGAGTCCAGAAGCCATGCTAGTGAACTTGTGGGTCTGGCGCTCAGAGGTTTGAACTGAGGCAAAGATTGGGCATGGTCAGCACAGAGGTGTAGCTGATGCCAAGGCCACGGGGAAGGTGCCCGGGAGGAGTGTATGGAACAAGAAGAGAAAACCCTGAGGATCGTGGCATCTAGAGGTGAGCAGAAGGTGAGGAACCCATCCCCAAAGTCAAGGAGGAGTGGCCGGAGAAGCACCAAAAAAACGAGCTAGGAGGGACATGCTTCCAGAAGGCAGGTGGGATCACAGCTGCGTTGGGTTTAGTTCTGGCAATCGGGATTCTCGGTGGCAACAGCCTCAGTGGAATGGCAGGAACAGAAGCCTGGTGATATGGGGCTGAAGAGCGAACTCCCAATTCAGAGCACTCTGACAGGGTGTGTGACGCTCAGGCCAAAGGAATAATGCGACACACAACAAATCAAGGGCATCTGAGGACTGGCATCTTTTTACACAATTTTGCCCAAGGCCTTAGGATTTAATTTAAGCCTATGTCACCGATAGGAGGGCAGCCTTTTAGGTTTGTCACAGTGAGCACACTAATTATTTCACTGGAAGGTTTATCAGCAGTCTCTCTCCACCACTGCCAGAATATAGGTTTCTGGGGCTGTCAGCATATCGGTTATGAGTCATTTTTGTGCTTAGGAGAGAGTATGAGAAACCAAATGATGACTATGATGACTATCGCAACCACCTAAAGATGGCAGCAAAACCAAAGTGGCATTCCAGAGAAAATGGTTATTCTTAATGCTCAGAAATAAACTCAGTCATCAGTGGGTTTCCCAGAAAACAGGCACAGAGGCTATTTAAGGAAGATGCAAGGTGACACACACAGCAGTGGAAATACCAGATGCAGAATGAGGAAGGCAGAAAAGACATAGCCAGAGGCAGCTGGGAACCAGAAAATACACAACAATCACCTGGCAACTAGCTTGTTGGCTGTTCCTTATAAGAGCAAAAACAAGACATTTCTGTGTGCAGGCAGTAAGGTGACAACCCGGGTTATCACCACCAGCTCATGGAGTACCTTAAAACAGCAAGCAAGCCTTTGAACGCTGGTTTTTGAGGGACGACATGGCCGGGAGACCCTCTTGCTGCAACAGTTCTGCACGGAGCACCCCATTCTCAGACAGCAGGAATGATGTTGCTGGCTTACACAGTGTCGCTACAGGAAAGGTGGGGAGATGCATGTGCCTGCTGGCGTCTGCACCTCGGCTGCCTCTTCCATGGTGTGGGTGGGAGGAGAATCGGGGGCGTATGTTCATTCCTGGCTCCTTTTCTACGCATTCTTTCTGAAGAACAATGGGAAGAAGCAGGTTGAAGGTGGCGCTGTATGCTGGACTCCTCCAGCCCCACCTGTCTGACACTCCACGCAGCCACTCAGCCTAGGTGGTGATTATGTTGGAACTCCTATGCCTGCCCTTTCTGTGGAGCTGGCGGTAATAGTCCAAGACAGACGTGGAAAAAAAGGGAAACAACTCGAGAGCAAGGGGAGAAAAGCCCCCACATTTCAGGTAGTCCCCTTGTTTTGACTGAGCTGTCACTCCAGAGAGTTGACAAACCCTCTCAATGTCCTCTGAGTGCCCACAGCTCTCTTTTCCAGGGTTTTAAAAATAGGTCCCCAAACCCTCCTACATTGTTGGTGGGAATGTAAATTGGTGCAGTCACTATGGAGAACAGTATGGAGGTTCCTTAAAAAACTAAAAATAAAAAAAAATAAATAAAAATTAAAAAAAAAAACAAAAAAAACTACCATATGACCTGCATTCCCACTCCTGGGCATATATTGGAGAAAAACATGATTCGAAACGTTACATGCACTCCAATGTTCATTGCAGCACTGTTTACAATAGCCAAGACATGGAAGCAACCTAAGTGTCCATCAACAGAAGAATGGTAAAGAAGATGTGGGGCATATATATATATATATATATATATATATAATGGAATATTACTCAGCCATTAAAAAGAATAAAATAATGCCATTTGCAGCAACATGGATGGACCTAGAAAGTGTCACACCGAGTGAAGTAAATCAGACAGAGAAGGAGAAATATCACATGACATCCCTTATATGTGGAATCTAAAAGGAAATGATACAAAAGAATTTAATTACAAAACAAAAAGAGTCTCACAGACTTAGAAAATGAACTTATGGTTGTTAGGAGGAAGGGATAGTTAGGGAGTTTGGGACGAGCATGTACACACTGCTATATTTAAAATGGATAACCAGCAAGGACCTACTATATAGCACATGAACTCTGCTCAATGTTATGTGGCAGCCTGGATGGGAGGTGGGTTGGGGGAGAATGGATACGTTTATATGTATGGCTGAGTCCTTTCCCTGTTCACCTGACACTGTCACAACTTTGTTAACTGGCTATACCTCAATACATAGTACAAAGTTAAAAAACAACAACAACAAAAAAAAAACAGTTCCCAAATTAGAAAGGAATTGCAGGGGTCCTGATTTGTTTTGACTGGCACCCAACCCAGTAATTATAAAATGTTCTTTGCAGGACCATCATCTTAAGTGATCCAAAGAGAAGAAACGCGCCGTCACTGGCCATCTCTCCAGAGCGACATCCTTCCTGAAGCTGAAAGCCAAGATCTGAAGGTCATTTTCATTTCAGGGATTGATGAAATGTCCATCCTCAGCATTCTGCAGAACCCAGAAGAGGTGTCTCAAATTTCGCTAACTAGGGCATTATTTTGAAGCTCCTTAAACTGTACATGGCAGGAACCATGGTCCTGACACTGTCTGCTATGGAAATTATAGCAAACATTACCGTGCAGTAAAAGCATGTGTTTCCATTTTTGGTGGATACTGAACATTGCCACACGAGGCTATGCTGAGAACTGATGTCCTTGTGGGCTCTATGCGATGGGTTTAATCGCCAGTCCTTTTGGTAGAGTGCCTGGTTGGCTAGGACCAGGCTGTTAGGACGTACGATGGGTGTCTTCCGACTCTTACCAGGCTCTCAGCTGAGGTGTGCAGCCTTCTTCAGTGGTGCCAGAATGCGTGCCAGATATTGCCCAGTTCTTTCCTTGCTCTTTTTTCCAGTAAGAATTTTTAGCAGATGAGCTGGTGATGATGATGATGGTATAAATAATAGCAACATCAGCATTTAAAGTAGTCGCAGACAAGTAATATGGAAACTGCTCTGTGATGCTTTTGTATTTCTTTAATTAAGGATCAGTGTTTCTGGAGAATGTGACCTTTTATCAGTAGTTGAATATACATTTTCAACTTTTATGTGGTGAAGAAAAAAGAAATACAGCTGGTAGAGATCAGCAGTCCTCTGACTGCTGTAACCTGGATACATCGAAGGCAGGTCACTTCCAAATGACACTGTTCCTTGGCTTGCTTAAAAGGAACAGTACTTCCTGTCACAACTGCCGTGATCAGAGGAAATGTAAAATGTTACCAGCTCGTCATGGGATCACATTTTGCTGTTGTTGTTAATGACAACAATGACAACTAAACCACTTCCTCGGGTCCCTTGTTTTTACAATAAAGGGATTCTCTTCACGCCCTGACCTTCCTAATTCCAGCCTTTGGGGTAGACTAAATAGACAGGGATGCTGCCAAAGGCTCTGGTGGATTGACGTGGCCCTGGGTGAGTTGATACACTCAGGCCAGGCCAAGTCTCAAAAAAAAAAGCTGAGACCCAGGGGACGACTCTGAAGATAGTTGGTTACTGAGCCTTCTCCTTTTCACAATGCGTATTGTCACTGGTCTCCACCAGGGACCTTTTTAGAGCCTCACCCTGGGCTGTCATCATAAAATACTGGCTATAGCTCTTCCAGCTAACTGGAATTATTCTTATCAAAATCAGGCCACTAACTTTCTCTAAGGCTGTTTCCATAGTGAAAGAAATAGAAAAAAGAAAAGAAACAGCTTTCTCTAAGTGTCCAGAGCATCAATTCGATCACTCCCTGAAGTTATTCAGTAGACAGGTAAGTGACTGTCTCAGCTCTGGCTGTTTACATCTTTGTCTTTTCTTTTCTCAACTGGAAACGTTGCAGCTGAAGGGCCTGTATTTTCTTCTGGACATGATTTAAAGGAACTGACGGATGAACAAGGCCCAGATTATCATGCAGAAGTATTTTGAACTTGTTCTGAGGTAAGCCAGGGTGATGGTCAATACTGCAAGCCTGAGAGTGATAACTGTATGAAATATTGAATTAGGCTTCTAGTGTACAGATAAGTATTTAAGCTATGATACGTCACCACTGCAGAACTACTGAAACCTCTGTGGTCACTGGTGAACCCTTCATCCAAGCAAATATTTGGTTTCAACTTTTCAGAAGTGACTGTGGTTAGCATTTGATCATGCAATGGGCCAAAGAAAGGAAAACACACACTGCTACCAAGATTTGCCATTCCTGCCTTATGGGATACATCTTGGTATCCACATCTTAAGTAAGAAGTAAAGAGTGGAACTATAGCTTTTTAGAAAAGAAGGACCTAAGATTATTAAAATGTTTAAAGTTTTAGACTAAAACAACTCTGTCAATGGGAAAGAGAGCATTAATAACAATAATGATTTAAAAAATTATTTCCAAACCCTTCTTTCAATTAACCTTTATAATCACTGCCTACAAGTAGGAAACTCAACCTCTTCATTTTTCCTCTTCTCCCTTTTCTGTCTCTTTAACCACATTAAGAAGGGAAATTGACAACAGATATAGAGGAAGAAGAGGGTTCCCTGGTGGCTCAGTGGTAAAGAATCTGCCTGCAATGCAAGAGATGCAGGTTCAAACCCTGGGTGGGGAAGATGCCCTGGAGAAGGAAATGACAACCCATTCCAGTAGTCTTGTCTGGAAAATCCCATGGATAGAGGAGTCTGACAGGCTACAGTCCACAGGGTTGCAAAGAGTCGGACACAACTTAGTGACTAAACAACATCAACAACCTATAGGAGGAAGCACAAAATTGGGGGTGACTTATACATGTATCAGATCAACCGGATAATCAAAAATATAGAATCCACCTTAAGTAACACATTGTCCATTTAATGAGCCTCTCCGGAGCACCTGCTATATGCATACTTGCAAGATACTGAGGGAAACAGAAGGAACAGAGAATTTCCAGCCGACCTGAAAACTGGAAATAGAGTTGAGAAAGAAGGTGTATAAAGCAGTTTCATAACCCTAGGATTACTTCACCTAATTTTATCCTTCATACATTGACTTATTCATTCATTTCTTTGGTCATTAATGATGCAACAAATACTTGAGGAGACCTTCAATGTAGACCAGACAGCAGTGAGCATCAGAAAGGGGAAGGGGAAGGTGATTGAGATACGTTCTTGTTTTCCTCGCCCTTCCAGAACCCCCTAAGGAGATCATAGTTTTCATTTTGTGGAGGGACAAACCTGAAAAGTGATTGACTTGACTTCATAGAAATAGAAGCAAGTCAGAGCCAAGACCTGGTCTTTCGTTTCACATTAATGATGTTTATGGGACATTCTGCCGTTTGTTTGATAGGACTTGGTGCTTTTAAAAGTTATTTCCTACTGATATGTTTGGCCAAATAGAAAATCGGCAAAGAGAACCAGCAGAGCCCTTCCATCTTCCCCTAAATGGCCTGCTTTTGTCACTTTGCTGTGATACTTTCATGAACTGAGATCTTAAACAGTCAGCAAAGGGCCACAGGGGAGCCAAGCTTCTTTAGAGGACAAAGGCCAGGTTTCTTGGAAGCTTCTACCATATGGATGCCCGCAGATCACTGAAAAAAAACACAGATAGGACCTTGTCCTGACGTAGTAAAAGAGAGGTTTAAGTGTACTGACTTCTTTAAGACTTTGTCTAAGAAAATCAAATCGTCCTGATAAGTCTGAGTACCATGAACTTGTGCAAGATTTCAGTTTGCAGGTGTAACCAGCAGGCAGATTGGAGCAGAATGAGGCCAATACTTCCTCATTTTGTTCCTGCATGAGAAGAGGTGAGGGCTTCCCCGGTGACTCAGATGGTAAAGAATCCGCCTGCAATGTGGGGGTCCTGAGCTCAAACCCTGGGTCGGGAAGATCCCCTGGAGGAGGGCATGGCAACCCACTGCAGTATTCTTGCCTGGAGAATCCCCATGGACAGAGAAGACCGGTGGGCTACAGTCCATGGGGTCGCAAAGAGTCGGACACGACTGAGTGACTAAGCATGCACAAGAAGAGGGGATGGTGGAAAGGAAGGAAGATCCATGGACTGGCTTGGCATCTGAATCTTATAGTAGATTTGTCACTGAACACAAGTGCCTCACGAGGGTTAATTACTTACAGATCAAGAATGGGGCAAAATGAGAAGGAGAAGAAACACTTGATCAGGGTAGGATATTTTTAATGTTAGTGATCTACTGAATTGCCTAAGTATCACTCAACCAGCTCATGTGAAATCTCAGGCCTTCATAGACGAAAGGCGGGAGACAGACTGTGCTGCCCAAGTTATAGCCAACGGACTTTTCACACCCTCAGTTGATCAGGCCACAGATGACACTCAGAGCTGAAACAGCCTTCTCTGTCTTTGCAGTCCAACCTCAGACCTCAGACCTCAGAAGCTTTTATGCAGCCTCCTGGTTACCATAGTCCCCACCATCTCCACCCTCACCTATAGGCACAAACTCCCTAAACCCACCAACAGTTTGGGGTGGGGGTATATATGTGCATTCCTCTGGAGGAGGGCCATTAGCATTTACCAGAATCTGAAAAGGTGACCCCCTTGAAGTCAAGAATATGATATCATATCCATAAATGCACAATTGGTCATTTTAGAATAAAGCTGACAAGTGCCAAATGTTCATGAACACAAAAGGTGAGTTCCTTAGGCAAAACCTGGGAACCCATGAAGGTCATTTTCCTTGGAGTGGCTGCTGGGAAGCCAACCCAGAGTCCCTCCTCCTCTTCCTCCAGCCAGGGTCTAAGGGCAAACATTTTGACACCGAAGTTATCATAGCAACACAATTGGTTAAGCATGTCAGGGAAAAGATGGAGAAATTAGCTAAGTTATTTCATAAGCTGCAAAAATAAGTTAAAATTTGGGAGATTTGAGGGCAGAGGTCTCACGCAAGCGTTTCTGGCTCCCCTCTCTGTGCACTTTGGAATTTTACTTTGATGACAGCAGGGTGTTCCCCCCATCTTAGTAGAAGTGAGAATCACGGCGGCAACTGGAGAAGTAATGAGTAAGGAAGCTGTGTCCCAGCTTTTAACATGAGAGCTCCACACCACCATCGCTGGAACAGAGCAGCTTGTTTCCCACAGTCACTCAACCCTCTTCTCTAGGGGTTTGTGAGCGGAGTGGTCCAGAGGACAGCGCCCTCACTGAAGTCATGCTCAGGGTCAGACTAGGGGCCTGGAGTCAGACAGAGACGGCTCAGACCCCAAAACCCCACTCTTGAGCCTGATGGCCTTAGGGAGTCACTTGCCTGGTGAGCCTTGGAGTCCTGGATCCTTCCTCCTGGATCTCAAGGAGACCAAATCATACAGTCTGATTCACAGTTGAGATTTCATGCAACTTATTCTCCTTGGCCATAGAATCTGATACACTTATGGATTTGAAAAGGGCTCTGAACAGTAAAATCACATAAAATGACAAGCTTTGACGTCCACCTAACTCTTGGAGGGAAGTGAAGCAGGTGTGTTTGCTTCTCAGGTCATGATGCTGATCCAGAACCATCCAGTCCCCATCATCACCATGGTGAATGGCCTGGCCACCGCGGCTGGGTGTCAGCTGGTTGCCAGCTATGACATTGCCGTGGCGAGTGACACGTCCTCCTTTGCCACGCCAGGTGTGAACAGAGGGCTCTTCTGTTCCATCCCCGCAGCGGCCTTGGGGAGAGCAGTGCCGAGAAAGGTAACGACTCCCTGTGCCCTCCCCCTGCCCCTCCCGCAGCTGTGATCCTTGAGTGCCTGTGAGGGTCAGCTCCAGAACTTTCTTGTTGAAAGTACAGTGTGAGTCAGGACATTCTGCCCAAAGCAGCGCTGGCTAATGTACTAACATCCTGTGTCAGGACGTTATCCCTGTAGCTGTCTGTTTGTAAATCACTGTTTTTCACCCTTGCCTGCCCCTCAGTACAGCTGGTTAAGTTTCCAGATTTGCTTTGTCTTCATAAAGGCAAACATCTTTTGCGCTCATGTGAAATGCAACTGAGACACAGTTTCATTGCACAGAAAGGCCGCCCATGAGCCGTAACAGCATGGTGACATTTGCCAGTGTAAGAGGCTAGGACACTGTCGCTGGCTTTCTGTTTGCTGACAGTCTGTCTCGCTCCAGAATGCTTGGAAAGGAGCTGATACACTGAGTGCATCTCTTTCGCAGTGGCTGCAGGGGCGTCCTGCACGCGGTGTGTTGAACGTGCCCAGAGCTCTCCTGCTATCGTTGCCCTGAGTGAAGTCCACTGTCTTCACAAAGCTTTCCTCCTTCCTATAACATTGTGAGAGTGTTTACTGAACATCTCAAGTAAAAACTGGTGGTTTCCTCATTCTAGAAAAATACATCCTCATTCTCAATTGAAAATCTGTTTTTAAAGGAGGGTCAGATTCATAGGGCTTCCCAGGTGGCACTAGTGGTAAAGAATCTGCCTGCCAATGCAGGAGATCTAAGAGATGTGGGTTTGATCCTTGGGTCAGGAAAAATCACCTAGAGGAGGGCACGGCAACCCACTCCAGTATTCTTTCCTGGAGAATCCCATGGACAGAGGAGCCTGGCGGGCTACAGTCCATAGGATTGCATAATTCAGACATGACTGAATTAACTTAGCATGCATACATGCAGATTCATAGCAGGTAGGGAACCTAAACTGCTTTCTAGAATATATTGTCCATTTTAGCACCAACTAGGAAAATCAGCAGTTGCTCGTAGCCTGAGGCACAAAAGAAATGAGACCCAAGGGAAATCAGGCCGAGGGTCCAAGTTCAGGGGCGCACGCCTGCCTTCCGTGTGCCTCCTCATGAACTTTTACAGAAATATGTTTGTGAGAAAATCCTGATCACAGGTACCTACAAACACCCACACCATGAAAACCAGCTGGACGTGGGCTCCAGGTGAGAGAAGGTGACCCTCAAGCTTGCTCCAGTGTCCTCAGTCAGGGGGTGTCTAGATCCCACCAGGATACACATTTACCTTAAATGTTATACATTCAATAAATACTTAAGTCACTATTTAGCACCAGGATCTTAAATTAAAACACATCACAAAGATATTGTTGGAGCTTATGAACAGTTTTATAATTGTTATAATTGCAAATCAACTCTCATCTCCAGGCCTTTTGCACATTAAAGGTGGTGGCTCTCTGCTTGACCAACCTGCCACTGCTCAGTTCCAACCCCTGACATTCTGGAAGATTCTGTGTTGAGGCCTTTGAAACCTTTAGATCAGCCCTTATGTCCAGATAAGAATCTGCTGCTGTTGTTTATTCAGTCATAACAAACTCTTTTGCGGACTCCATGGGCTGTAGCCTGCCAGGCTCCTCTGTCCATGGGACTTCTCAAGGCAAGAATACTAGAGTGGGTTGCCCTTTCCTTCTCCAAGCTAAGAATCTATTCTTTCTCAAAACAAACTTTTAAAATCAAGGTTTGCAATTGAGTCCTAGAAACTTACAAGTTGATCATATGTGTCAACCTTTAAATTAGTTTTTCAGTAGAAAGAAGGGGGGAAAATGCGACAAAACAGGCCTTTAATTCCCAGGGAACCCAGTTCCCAGAACCAAGCGGCTTAAACCTCACCTGAGGCGTGGCCTCTCTAAGAGGAAAACCAGGGAGTCACAGAAATCTAAACCTAACCAAAACACACCTGCCTGGTCGATGCTTGCCTGCACCCCTCGGGGACATATTGGTACAGCGGCCACCGACTGTACGGGTGACAGGGCCGCACCCCCGTGCACATCCGCCGGGAAGCAAAACCGCAAAACCTTCGCAAACCTAGCGGGTGCCTTTGCACACCGGCCCCGCCCGGAAGCTCCGCCCTTTTCACGCCGGCTGCAGCAGCAGGCGTGTGTCGCCAGTGCCCTCTGCTGGTCATCGTCGGGAACTGCCCAGCTGTGAGGTGGCTGCAGCCTTTTGTCCACTGGACCAGCAACCGTGGCGAGGAGCTCTCGTGTGCCAACCAGACTGAACCGAACAGGCTGAACCTGGGCGCGAATCATTTCCCCCACATGCAAAGTGTCCCCGCCCCCGGGGTGACTTCAACATGCATCTTCATTGCACCTTATAAACAACCTTCCTGGCGCGGCTGCTCCCTCCCCCAGAGCTGGCCTCGCCCAGCCCCTCCAGTAGTGGGTACCGTGGGCCCCAGGAGTACGGTGAAAGACCAGAGCTCCCGCTTCCCAGACCAGCCACGTCTCCCTGCGGGAACGCTCGCTTCCCCCTGTTTATCCACAGGGGCTCTGTGTATCTGGGGAATCTGAGTTCTCACCGTCTGGTTAATCAGAACCCGCAAGCTGGAGAGCGTTAGGTGACAGCCTAGCTACCCAGCCCGTGTGCAAATCACCAGAGAGTATGGGGAATAGGGCCTCAGCAGAAGCTGTGTCTGCTTCTGGCCTGGCCTCTGAAGGTCTGTAGCATCGCCTCTATCCATCTATTCCTTAATTCACTCACCAAGAGACTTCCCTGGTGGTCCAGTGGTTAAGACTTCAAGCTCCCAATACAGGGGGCCCGGATCAGATTCCTGGTCAGGGAACTAAACCCAGTGTGCCGCAGCTAAGACCTGGCACAGTCGGGGTGGGGGGTGGGGGGTGGACAACACTCACCAATAAATATCCTATAAGCTGCCTACTATGTACAAGGTACATCTTCAGGTGCTGGTGATACAGAAATAAACAGAGCAGTAAAAAAAGAAGTCTCTGACCTAGAGAGGTTCACATGCCAACAAAGGAGATAATACAATAAACAAATGTAAAATCTATAGTAAGTGGTGAAAGTGCAAAAAAGGAAAATGCAGCCTGAAAGAGGAATGGTGCTGCGGTGTGATTTGCAGTGACATGTGACCAGAAGGAGACAAGGAGGGTCCCCCTCTCCTGGGCACTTGCAGATGCCATCCCGGCCAGAGTCTGGGGACAGAGGACCTTAGAGGTGATGGGCGACATAGTGTCTGAGGAGGACGTAACTGGGCCGAGGCTGTCAGGAGAGTGAACGGGAGCAGGTGGAGCCCAGGTTGCAGGACGACTTAGTAACAGCTCCATCTCCTCCCCGAAGGTGGCCTTGGAGATGCTCTTCCCTGGGGAGCCCATCTCTGCCCAAGAGGCCCTGCTCCACGGGCTGCTGAGCAGGGTGGTGCCGGAGGAGTGGCGGGAGGAAGGTGGCCTCACTGAGCCGGCCGGTGCTGTCGCTGGGCAAAGCCACCTTCTACTGGCAGCTGGCCCAGGACCTCAGGACTGCCTACCACCTCACCTCCCGGACCATGGTGAACAACCTGGGCCTGCTGGATGGCCAGGAGGGGGTCAAGGCCTTCCTCCAGAAGAGGAAGCCCGTCTGGTCACACTGAGCAGCCTCATCAGAGGAACCAGGGGCCGTGAGCCCAGTGGGCAGTACTCAGGACCCCACCACCCCATGCCCAGCCTTCCAACCCCCAACCACCACCACTGCCTGTGACTGTAGCTGTCAGCTGCTCTTCCAGCATTGGTAATGGTCTCAGTGCACACGGTCTGTGTTAGGAGCCATGACTCCTTGGGAAAGGGGCGACCTGGAGAGTCAGGAGAAGGGCCAATGTCAGCAGAAGGGCCGTGCGCACCTCAGCTGAGCCAGCTGTGTGAGAAAGCCCACCTGTGATGCTCCTTCTGGGACCTTTGGTGAGAGGACGCCCCCACAGGGGGAGAAGGTGCTGTAAACTGAGGCAGGAAGGAAGGATTTCAGCCTGACTCTTACCAGAAAGTACCCCCAAGGTGCATGTGGTGCTGTTTGCTTCACAGGTAAAGCATTTCAAATCTCCACAAGATACTCTTCACTCTGAAAATCTTGGTTCTTTTGAAAAATAATCACACCTATGGCTTTGGGATAATCTTTGGGGTCTTTGAAAGATTACCTATTTAGTGAGACTGATCATTTTATCTTCCCAATTTCCCAAGCTGCTTAAAAGAAGAAAATCAGTTAGCTCTTTCTTTGATGCCTGTGCTAATGGACATCTAGCAGGTGCCTGGTGCTTCTCTAATGAAGGTCCCAGGTACTAGGAACCTGGACCCTGGACTGAGAATTCAAGTATTGCAGAAGAAAAGGAGGGACACAGAACACACATTGTACCCGTGAAGAATCATCTTCTCCGGAAGCATTTCCAAGCTCTGCTCAGCTTCCAGTAAAGAGTCCAGATTAACTTCAAGTGTTTAAGTTCCCCAAAGATGGTTTAAGACATGAACATCTTACTTTCTGGCTTCTGGCCCATTTAGGCTCCAGAAATGTCCTAGACCTCTGGTCACGCCTGGGGCTGATTTTTTTTTAACCTACCAGTTGAGTGGCTATAAGTGTAATTAGTACCAAAGACAGAACCTTGAGGCTTCACTAACTGGTTCTCATTCTAAGCCAGTAAGGCAATCAGCCCCTGGAAGGGCAGTCTCCTAGTGGGTTTCTGTTGAGATTGGATTTTTTTTTTCCTTGCCAGAGTCTAGAAAGGTGACAAGGAGTGTTTTCTTGGAAAGGAGAAGCTTGTTGCTAAGAATGTTCCTCAGAAGAGAGATCATCAGAGTCGCCACTAGTACATGCCAACACCCCATAGGTCCTCATTCATTGCCCACCAGCACCCCGCCGAGCAGGGCCACCATCACCTCCAGCTTGCAGACGAGTGGGGGAGACGGGGTAGAGTGAGTGTCCCAGGCTCTGTCTGCTGATAAAGCCGTGAGTGCCCTCCCCAGCCTGCCCACCTTGTGGGGGAACCTGAGCTGCAGTGAGGCGGGCCTGCAGACCTGACCGCCACCGGGCAGCCTTTCAGAACCCAGAGCTGGGCCGAGCGCGCCCCCTGCTGGAGGACTTTGCAAGCTCACCGGCGACGTGGGATTTGACTATTGGCAAACCACCAGCGCAGTTTTGTTGTTTTACTAGGAGTCTGACAAACAACGGGCTGATATTCCAGACCAGGCTGTGAAGGACTGGCCATGATGATCTGCTCACTAATAACGCCGCCGGCGGGGCCCTTTCGGGTTGCCCGCCGTAGGGGGTCATTGTGCGGCCATCTCAAACCCCACAGTGAGGAGAGGGTGTTATACTCTCCGGGCTTTTGTTGAAAGTCAGCAAAACCTTCTCCCACGTCCCAGTGAAAACCAAAAGTTGCCTTTCCAGTTTCGGTACGCGCTGAACCATAGCTCCCAACCAGGAAATTCTCAGGTCTCCAGGCCGGCTTCCCAGCCTGTGAGCTGAAGTGCCCTCGCGGGACGCGCTATAAATTCTAATAATCGTCGGAGCGGAAAATAATCCTGGAATAAAACCTGCTACCCAACCACCAGTGTCACATAATTCATCCCCAAGGCAGATATAAATTGGGGGTTAATTTGCATCTCTACTTCCTTCCACTGGGACAGTGAATAAAAGCTCTCTGGTCGGCACACAGGACGACCGCTTTTGGAAAGTGTGTGTTCACCTTTCCTTCTGCACCGTCCGCTGCTCAGGGAGATTCTCTGAGCTCAGTGGTCCCCGCGCCCGGAGGGGACGGGGCTGGAAAGTCTGTGAAAGGGGCATCTGCTCCTGCTCGGCCTGAGCCCTCGAGAAAACAGCGCGGATACGTGATTAATTTCCCCGCAGCGACTGTGCGGAGACCCAGCAGATACGCTGAGCCAGGCTAGCCTAGGAAGGATCTCTCTCCGCTGCCCTGGTAGTTGAGAGGCTCAGAGAAGTGAAGGCAGTGGCCACAGTCGAACCAGCATTTAGCTGACTGTGGATCCCCTGCCCCTGACACCATACGTATTTCTTTTCTCCCCTCAAAGATCGCTGTTCCAGCCAAGAGAGACAGACGAACGACGCACTCAAAGGAAACCAATCAGAAACTGTCAAGCCGCAGCAACACAGCTTTGCTTACCAAGGGAATTATGAGGAAAGCACAGGTGTGACCTCGAAGAACACCAGGTTCAAGTCCCAGGTTTGCCACGAACCAGCCGTGTGTCCGTGCGGGTAATGGGGCCTCTTTCAGCGCCCAGGTCCCCTTCTGTAAAAATGCTGCGTGGACCCTTTTGTCCTCCTGGTTGTGACATTGTGGATTCTGCAGCACTGGATTGGAAACTTGCCACAAGACCCGAAAACAGGTAGCTTTGCCCAAAGAAGATGTTCTTCTACAAATGGAGAAGATGGATTTTTCCCTGGAAGTAGTGAAGAGTGAAAACACCTGATTACCCTGGAGAACAAGAGCTCCATCATAGATCCTCCATTCTTGGGAGCCACACATGAGCCTTTTAAAGGTGTCCAGCTAACCCGGTGGGCAGAACTCTATCGAAACTGGCAATCACCCTAGTTCTCTCTGGTGGCAGTCTAGTCACTAAGTTGTGTCTGACTCTTGCAACCCCATGGACCAGCCTCCTCTGTCCCGTATCCATGAGATTTCCCCAGGGAAAAGTACTGGAGTGGATTGCCATTTCCTTCTCCAGGGGATCTTCCCAACCCAGGGATTGAACCTGGGTCTCCTACATTGCAGGCAGATTCTTTACTGACTAATCCACCAGGGAAGCCTAGTTTTGTCTAGGGGCCCCCCTTTCCTCTCTGCTTTCTGCAAACCCACTGGGCTAAGCTTTTAAATTGTTTTAAAATATTTGATTAATGAATGAGTATTCTTTCCTTGCAGTCATCAAGAGGCCAGAGTTGGTTGAAGTTGACCTGTTACCATTAATAAACTTGTGAAATTTCAGTTATTCAAGGGTTTTCATTTCATGGTCTGGAGCCCCAAATGTATCTTTCAGGTTCCAAACAGAGGCCCCCTGAGAAACTGGCAGGCCATCCTGGACCTGTAGGGTGTCTTGGTGGGATGACCTGGCCCTCTCTGGCTCCCTGGGGGAGAGGGAGATGGCTGTTGCCACAGGCAAGGCAGGGAGGAAGACTAGGGGCTGGGTGAGTCCAGTGTTGTGGGGTTTATGTTCCCACCATGGATGTACCCTGACGTCCTCATTGATTTTATAATGATGTCTCAGCTTTGACCCAAAAAACAATTTGCAGGTATTTGTCTACACATTTAAGAAGTCTCTCGCTTTTATGTTCTATGTTTTCAATATATACCTTACCAAGTTTTGTATTGAGGTGGTACTTACCACTTTAAGAAATTTCTAGGAATTTAGAAAGAGGAGGGGAAATGTATGGGTCAAAATGTCGTGTGATTTAAAGCTTACCAGTGCTTTGATTGATGTAGTGATTGCTCTGTGCCAGGCACCATTGAAGCATTTTATGGATGTAAATACATAAATCCTCACAAAATCTCTGTGCACTAGGCACAGAGGTTCATAAAGAACCCTATTCTACAGAAAAAAAAAAAAACTAAAACACAAAGGTACTAGGTGATGTGCCTGTCAGCACACAGCCAGTAGGGGGCAGGGTTGAGTCTGAAATCCAGGGGTTCCACCCCTTGTACAGGCTTTTAGGAGAAGGCGACGTCCCATCACCTTGTAGATTCTTTCGTTGTGCAGGAAGCACGCGGAATTATTATTTTAACTCACAGTCTAGTGTATCATGCCCCCAGTGCTCCAACACTGCAGGCCACATCAGTCTTGTTTGTCATTTATTTCTCAGAGCCTGGACGCTGCCCAGCACGGAGCAGATCTCCCATGAGATTTGCCGGGTCCAGTTCAATGTAGCCAGGGAACAGTTTCCCCCAACCCCATCCAAGCTCAAGATAAGACATGAGAAATTTCTTTAAAATTCTCAAGACCATATTTTCTAAATCAGTCTTGCAAAGTTAAGCAGTTGAACAGAACGTGAATTAAATCCATGTTTTCTCTGTATGTCCAAGAAAGTTTATAGAGTTTCTGTGTAGGTTAGTATTCAGGAGTCACATTGGATGAAATCAGACCCAGGGGGTTCCGAAAAGTCCATTTGCTTTCTTTAAAGCACAGCTGACACATGTTTTGGCCTCCAAATGCTTACATTTCTGGTGATAAAACAGAGAGAGAAAAAATTTATGGTTGGTTGGCAAGAGGTAAAGAACACCCCCTCCCCTCACAAAAAAAGTAGAAACAGGATTTAGCCAGGGAACACACCTTACAATGAGGCCACCGGGCCGGTTGCCAAATGACCAGCACAGGCAGTAAGTACTACAGGAACCAAGAGGAAAAATAAATTCTGACTTATTCGTGAGCAGATGGCTCCTTCTGTGTGAAGCTTTAGCATTTCAAGTCAGGAGGGAACTCAGCACCCAGCTACCTTACAAACTGTGACATCACACAGACAAGGTCTAAATGACTAGAGATACAGACCTAGCCAGTCTTGGTACCCAACACAGGATGCTCTGACTGAAAGTTGGGGTGCCCCTCCTAGTGACACCCCCCCCCCAGACCGTCAGGGTGAAATGCCCAATAAGTGCTCCAAGTTTTCCGGAAGTTTCCTTAGCACCATTTAGCATTCCAAGTCAGGAGGGAACTCAGCACCCAGCTACCTTACAAACTGTGACATCACACAGACAAGGTCTAAATGACTAGAGATACAGACCTAGCCAGTTTTGGTACCCAACACAGGATGCTCTGACTGAAAGTTGGGGTGCCCCTCCTAGTGACACCCCCCCCCCAGACCGTCAGGGTGAAATGCCCAATAAGTGCTCCAAGTTTTCCGGAAGTTTCCTTAGCACCATTCAGGAGAAAGGCAGAGCAAGTGTTTTGTCCCCAAACTCTGCTCTAGAGGCACCTGGAGAAAGAATTTATGAGCTGCGGTGTCTCTAGTCCCTCCCTTGACATTTACTGGCATTTTGATGAATGTCAGAGCAATTTTTCTGTCAACAGCTTCTCATTAGGGGCCTGGTGATGTTCTTTGTGACCACGATTTTACTCGGCGACTCGCCTGATCACTGTGAGGAGAAGAGGTTCCACTTAGAAAACATCCATCCCTGCAGCAGCAAGGAGCTCAGATAATGCCACTTAAACACTCCTCTGGGCTGACAGCCACCCTGGGGCTCTGGCACTGACTTCAGACAACCAGCCAGCTTCCAGCGTGGCACTCCCTATCCCTTTAAAGACATATTTCAGGTCGGATTCTCTGTTTCTTTTTAAAATGAACTACAGAGAACTTGCTGGTGAAACGATCACTAGGATTCACTTCTCAGAGACGACAAGATCTCACCATGAATGACAAGTCCGGCCTTGGAAAAGTCTGGAACCAGCAGGTATTGGTGCAAGGTGTCTGGTTTCCTTAACGGACTGTTTATCTTGCCCCTGACAGGCACTGTCTGCACACAGCAATGCTTCAGGAAGGCATCTGGGGACGTCTGAGGCCCTTGTCATTCATCAGTATTGATGTCAACCTTCATACACCTCCTCCATCTTCCCTACCACCAGATACATGAATCTAGCCTGGATGACTATTTTTCCCCCAAAAAGGATTTTTTAAATTATTATGAACAATTTCAAACATAGGGAAAAATCAAGAGGATGAGTAATAAACTACCCTGGTACTCATGGCCCAGCTTTCATAGCCATTATGGCCAATCTTGTGCTGCCTGCCCTATCCCTGCTCCTCCCAGCCAACCCCTGACTATGCTGAAGTGGATCCCAGAGTCGCCTCCTCAGAACAGAAAACGCTGCTGTCACCCAGGATATTCCAAGAGTCTCAGGAGCCCTGCACCAGGGCCAGGGTGGGCAATGACAAGCAAGCACATGTTCTCTCATCTCACAACAACCCCCTTGGATGTCTTTCCCTCAGGTTCCAAGGGATCACTTTCCAAAATAACTACCTCCGTGCAGACATGGGCTCAGGCTCTGCTTTCCGAGAAAACCCAGGCTGAGGTGCCAGCCCAAGAGAGGGGCGAAGAGAGTTCCAAGAATCCAGTAAAGGGAGTCCTGGTGTGATCACCTGGCCCAAGACCTCTATTGAATTACTCTCTTAGTCTCAGCACTTAAAGCAGCAGTTCCAAACGTCTCCAGCAGAGGGCAGTGGTAGCTTAGCTCTAGATAGAAATCTCAGTGGCCTAAGTGCAGCCATGAAGTTCTATGGAGACCTACAAGACCTTCCGAAAATTAACACCAAAAAAAAAAAAAAAAAAAAATGAAAANGCTTTTTTCATCATAGGGGACTGGAATGCAAAAGTAGGAAGTCAAGAGATACCTGGAGAGCTGTCACCGTGGACCGCGGCGGCGGCGGCGGCGGCGGTACATTGCCGGCATCGGAGCCGCCAAGGAGTGTCACGCAGCACAATGCCCGCTCTGCCCCTGGACCAACTCCAGATCACCCACAAGGACCTGAAGACAGGAAAGCTGAGGACTTCGCCTGCGCTGGTCATCTTCGACGAGACCCTGCAGAAGTGCCTGGACTCCTACCTGCGCTATGTGCCCCAGAAGTTCGACGAGTGGGTGGCCCCGGCCCCCGAGGTTGTTGACATGCAGAGGCGCCTCCACCGCAGCGTTTTTCTCACCTTCCTCCGTATGTCCACGCACAAGGAATCCAAAGATCACTTCATCTCGCCCTCTGCTTTCGGAGAAATCCTCTACAACAACTTCCCGTTCGACATCCCAAAGATCCTGGACCTCTGCGTGCTTTTTGGAAAAGGCAACGCCCCGCTGCTGCAAAAGATGATAGGAAACATCTTTATCCAGCAGCCAAGTTACTATAATGACCTGGACGAAACCATGCCCACCATCCTTCAGGGCTGCACTCTGAGGGCCATCAGCACTCACACAGAAGGGGCTTGCGGTGCATTCTGTGCTGTCTCGCAACAGCCATCTGCCCCTGGGGACACCCCTGTATGTCTCTCAAGTCCGAGCTCTAAAGCCACATGAAATCATTTTAATGCAATAATGCTTATTGTAGAAACTTTGGAAAATTACGAAAAAATAAATAAGTAAATAAATAAATAGAAGAAGATGAACCTTCCTCCGTAATCCCGCCACCAGGAGATAAGCACTGTTCACAGTACCGTCTAGAATTTTACTGCCAGTGTACTTAAATGTGGTGCTCAGTTGCTAAGTCATGTCCGGCTCTTTGCAACACCATGGACTGTAGCCCACCAGGCTCAGACTCTGTCCACGGGATTTCCTAGGCAAGAGTACTGGAGTGGTTGCCATTTCCTTCTCCAACTTAAATGTGGTGCAATCCACAATGGGCTCTGTTTTCCCCCTCACTATTGATTTGTCTTTTATTTCAGTATAGTATCGCCTTGCCCAGGGCATTGAAAAATACATGTTGCTGACTGTATCTCCTAAATATCCATCCCCATACACCTGTCCAGCCGATCCCGGTCACATCCACAGGGTTTACATACATTTCGTCATCATCGTCCTCACCACAGTCCTCTGGAAAGGATGACCGCATGATTCCCTTTTGACACAGGTTCCATTCTGAGAAGGTCACTGTCTCACCTGGTGTCCCAGGGACACTGGCATATATCCTGAAGATTCCAAGGCAGTGTTGGGGTCACCAGTCACTCGCTGCAGAATGGGGTCCCTGCTGCCAGTTCAGTAGGATGTGAGAGAGTCGCCTCCTGTGTTCACAGGTCTTCAGCAATATCCTCCAGCACTGTGGTCTGCGTGGGGACGGGGCCAGTGCCACACCCCAGAGGCTCGAGGAGAGGGGCCGGCTCACCCCCAGCGACATGCCTCTCCCGGTGAGCCTGCCCTTCAGCCCAGCTGCTTTCTGGCCAAGAGAAGGCCTGGAGCTTCCCCCACTGGTCACAGCCCTCACCCCACCCCGCAGTCAGCTCGCCCATCACGCAGGCTTTAGGACATTTCAGTAGGCTTTCTCACTTCGTTTATGGAGTCTCAGAGGGAACAGCATGGAGGTTTAGCCTTCGCTTAATTCAGCTGGATGGGTTCCTGGGTGCGTTACTCACGGGGCCATTCATCCATGGCACCAGCATGCCCCGAGGGGCCCCCAGCACACGCTAGGCCCCCAGGCTGGGCCGTGAGGCCCAGTAGTTACAGAAGCAGACGGCTGTGTTTGCACCGGAGTTAGAGCAGGGGCAAGGCTGCAGTGGGTTGCCTTCCTGCAGCTTGCGCTGTCGTGGGAAAGCAGGCCTTAAACAAGCGTTCCAGAAAAGGGCGCAGCCAGTGCCGTGGGAGCAGGGCACGTTGCCCCGTGAACCGCAGAGAGGTTCCCTTATCTGTAAAGTGGAGGTCTGACCGGCGGCCCAGCCTCTTATTTGAGTTGTTGGGAGAATCAGGGAGCATTGAGGAAGCCCTGCCTGTTCTCAGCACGCTCTCCAGACCCCATGGAGAGTGGGCGCTGGCCTGGCCTCCCTGGGGTGTGTGTTCTGTGCGGGACCTCAGGCGCTGTCTTCACATTCAGGGATGGGCTCTCCTTCGGCTTCGAAGAGAGAATCGTATTGACGCGGNGCAATTGTGCGGTAGTTTGAGCATTCTTTGGCATTGCCTTTCTTTGGGATTGGAATGAAAACTGACCTTTTCCAGGCCTGTGGCCACTGCTGAGATGGACCACAGCCTTGTCTAACTCAGTGAAGCCAAGCCATGCCGTGTGGGGCCACGCAAGATGGCCAGGTCATGGTGGAGAGGTCTGCTAGAATGTGGTCCACTGGAAAAGGGAATGGCAAACCACTTCAGTATTCTTGCCTTGAGAACCCCATGAGCAGTAAGAAAAAGCCGACCTCATAGTGTGCTATGAAGACTGCTCTCTGAGTTTTCATTCTGGGTGGTCATCAGAGGAAGGGCTCCTTCTCAGAGTTCTCAGGCTCAGCGCTGTGGACATTCAGGGCCAGATGAGGCTTTGTCATGGAGCTGTCTGTGCAATGCAGCTTCTGTCTGCTAGACGCCCATAGCACCCTCCCCGACCAGCTGTGACAACCAAAATTGTGGCCAGACTTTGCCAGATGTCTTCTGGGGAGAAGGGAGGGACAAGATCACCACCAATTGAATTGAGAAGCTCTGCCCTGGACAATCATCTGGCTGGTTAGTTTATTAGCTAAACATAATGCTGATGCTGCGAATGAGGCCAGAACCATGTTTTCACGCCTGCCTTGGACTGCTCACATCAGAAGGCAGTGTGTACTGAGAGCTCTCAGGCACTGGGCCAAGATCTCCCCACATAACTCAGGGCAGGGGAAGGGGGAGGCTGCTTCTGTGCTAGATCCAGGCCCTCGGAGCAGAGCTCAGCACCGTCTTCTCCCCCAACATAGATTCAGCGCTCAGAAAGCATTAAAGGGAAATGGGAATATTGTTGAGGATGACCTGAGCAGATGAAGATAAGCCTCTTCCGAAGACTCTGGCTTTGAAGTTTCTGTCCTTTGACCCCAAAGTTCCTTGGCCAGGCCTGGTGAGGGAGGGGCAGATTCTTCTGTCTTTGGCTCCAGTTCACTCCACACTCCTCACGAGGCAGCATGACTCCTCCAGGGCACCCCATCCTGAGACCCTTATCCAAGAACTCCTCCATCAAACAAGTTTCTTTCTAACAAAGGTTTTTCTCCATATTGTTACACCTTCTTTCATTTCATTTTTATAGATAAGGATGTCAAGGGCTTGTTCCCAAATCTCACAGCTAAGAAGTATGGAAACAGTACTCAGACTCCAGATGCAGAGAAGGAACCTCTGTCAGGGCGCACAATACTTTCACCAGCTCACAAAAATGTTTTCATGTTCATTTCTTCTAAAATCAGAAGGATGTCATCATAAAACATAACTAATTTTTTTTCATGGAGGAAGGAACCCATCAAGTCAAAAGTTCTTGGGGTCCCCTAAAGTCATCCTGCACCCCGACATTGGGCTCTGCTCTTGATATACACCTGCTTAATACAGGTCCAGTTTCGGCCCAACATAAAGCTGACCTTAATACTGGCAGAAAAATGTAAACGTACAACTCTTACCTATTGTGGGGTCATATTATGGTATCATTTTCATAGATTTATTTATTCACTCAAAAACATTTCAAATATCTTGCTGCAAATGAAAAAAAATGAACACTGGGGTACACGTGTCCCTTTCAGATCTGGTTTGCTCGGTGTGTATGGCCAGGAGTGGGATTGCTGGGTCATATGGCAGTTTTAAATTATTAAACTTTCACTTAAATGCTACATTAGTTACAAGTTATGAAAATGAGATTTTTTTTTTTTTAATTTGAGGCACTGTGATCTCATTAGATACTTTTCCAGCCCTGGACCAGGGGTGGGAGAATCATGCTCCTCCACTCTTTTACTGCACCATCTCCATACCAGTGGAGATGAGTGATGTCTTAGTCTGCTCAGGCAGCATAACAAAGTATTTCCATAATGGAAAAACCCGAACAAACTTTTTTGCCAACCCAATACCATGGACTAGGGTGCTTAAATAACAGAAATTTATTTTCTTAGAGTTCTACAGGCTGGAAGTCCAAGTTCAAGGAGCAAGCACAGTCTGGTCCTGGCGAGTGCTTTTCTTCCTGACTTACAGATGGCTGCCTTCTCCTTGAGTCCTCATGTGTCAGAGAGAGATCTCTGGTGTTTCTTCCTCTGCTTATAAGGGCACCAGGCCCATGGAATCAGGGCTCCACTCTTATGACCCACTTTAACCTCAATCACCACCTTGAAGGCCCCCATCTCCAATTCAGTCACATGAGAGGTTTGAAACTTCACATGAATTTGGGAATGACAATCCAGTCCACAGCTGGTGTATTGGTCAAACAATTTATAACGTATAGCTTTAGTATTTTATTGCAAGTTTGCTCTAAACAACAAAGGAGGAAGGGTATACTTCCCGAAGCATTCTTTCCAAAAACTTCACCTCTTCTCTGTTCCTTTGCTCCAATCACTACAGAATTTAATGACCTCGTACCCTGATGGCAAGCTCTTCTTTCACGGCTGGAGCTGGTGAGTAATAGCGATTATTTCTGTATGGGGTGAGATGGGATGTTTTGGGTTGGGCTTGGGTTTTTTCTTCTTTTCTACTCTGAGAATAAGAAAAGGCAGGATTCCCACCTAGGAAGGGTGGCAAATTAATTACTGTGGAAAGAAAATCTATCAGAACTGATTATTCTGTTCAATGGCTAACGTTTCTCAGTAGGCTCTCTTACTTGCTAAGCTCCATTTCTCCACTGTTGACTATGATTCTGAATAGTCCATTTTAATGGAGATATGAAAAGGAGAAATAAGATTTTTTGAAAATGTACTTAGTGGAGGCACAAAATTATACCATTAACTATTTCATTTGGTCTGATCTTAAACTGCCTGAGCACATAGTCCCTCTTGGCTGA